CCCTAAATTAGGAAATCGGAGTATCTCATGGTGGCCCAGAACCTTCCGTGTCTACTGATGCCTAGTCATAATTGACTGACTTTCTCACTTTTTTTTTTCCTTTTTCAGCATAAATCAATGGTTCTTAAACTTTGGTAGTCATCAACTCTTACAAGAATCACCTTTAGGAAACTGATATAAAATATTTAGAATTTAGCTACAAGCATCTTTGAAAATGCAAGTCGAGTTTCCTTGAGTGATTTCACTGTAATTCACATATGTGTGCCATAGTTTGCAATCTGATCATTTCTGTTATGACAGATGGATGATCAAAGCAGGCCAGGTTGTGTTCCTTTGTATAACCTGAATATGTTTTCCATATGTAGAGCCCGGGTAAATGTCGAAGACAAACACTTGCTGAAAAAGTCAGATTGCTGGGAATGAGACTTTGACCTAAAATCCTGAAACATTACTTTTGATCAGTAGAGGAATACTTCAATTCAGTAGGGTTGAACATTGGTTTCATTTGATACTGTATGTGAAAAAAATGGGAGTTATTTTATCAAGAGGAAAACAGTTCACCATTCCTACTCCAAAACCAGGCAAGAGGGCTGTATTTCATGCTGTTTGTAAACACTTGAGGAAAAAAGGCAGTCATTTCACATTGTTGGGATATCCTACAGCACTCGATAAACTCAGCTGCAAGAACATGCATTTTAGAAAACCTGCATCAGGCCGTGTACATGGCTGAGGAAGCTACCTTTGTGACTCTTCTTGCTACAGAAGCTCATTGACAAGAATGAGGCAAGGATTTTGAAAGCCATCAAGTCAAGTCATGGATTTTCTAATTTTGTGTACATGGATTTTTTTTTTTACTTTAGATATAAGTGTTAATATTCTTATTATCTAGGTTAAGCACTGTTGCCTATGCTATTAAAAAAAGGAAAGAGAAAGAAAGAAAAAGAAAGAAAAGAAAAGGAAAAACTCTACCATTGCTTTAAGATAGCTTGAATCAATTTAGTTTTCATCATTAGTATTTTGCATACTGGAATTTATAAAGTTGTAAATTATAGTTTTCTTATACAAATAGTTTTGTAATATCTTTTTTTATTTGTGAATAAAATTGTTATCTGGTATTTTTATTTACGTGCCTAGTAAGAAAATTATTGCTTATTTGAATGCAAGTATGTTTTCTTTCTTGCCAGAAGTCAATGTGAGAGTCAAAATTCTACTTCTTCAGACAGAACCCTTTCCAGCCCGTCAAAGTTTAATTGAATGATTTGAAATCCCTCTTAGTGATCTGGTTATATTCCTCAGGCATGTTAGGCAACTGAAAGGTGCTCTAAGTTATCTTGCAAAGCTTTGGTATCAAGATTCTATCACTACACCTTAAAGTTTTTTTTCATTCATTTTATGACACAAAAAGGGATGGGACTAAAGAATAGATTTTGTGTTCCTTTTTTGGGAGGTCAATTGAGTGTCCTCTTCCAGAAAAATGGATTAAAGAAAGGAAGGAAGGAATTTCCATAGAGCAACAATGGTCACTGTAAAAATGTCTTTTTCCTTCCTAGCTTCTTCTTCTTCCTCTTTTTAAAAACTTATTTATTTATAATTATAATAATTATTATTATTAACCAGAGAGAGAGGAAAAGTGAGAAAGCAAGCTGCAAAGTCTGGGACTTGAACCATGGTCAGCCATTTGAAATTCCGTGTTTCAACCACCCCCCACCTGCTGGCCCCCTTCTCCCTCTTCTCAAAAATGTATTTTATTTATTTCTCCCAAGAGACACAGAGAGAGAGAAAGAGAGAGACAGGCCCAGCCCAGTGGCATAGTCAGGCTGAAGTGCAGTGCTGGAGGCCACATGGCTGCCAGGGGCTCGGGTTCTTGCATTGGTCCGGGAGCCTGCCAGGCACATGTTTGCATGCACAGGATCCTGAGGAGCAAGAGGGCTGGGGAAGGGGAATCCCAGCATGTAAAGACCCCATCAGGGTGATTATTGCCCTAGTGCACATACATGTGCTCTCTGTAATGAATGAAACTTTAAAAACAGAGAGGAAGACAAGCACCCCAGCAGAGTCTTCACACTGCAACCCACTCCCATCTTGAAGCAGCCAGGATCACAGGCACATCCACACGTGGCATGTATAGGAAGCCCTTCCCATGTGGCTTCGGCATCATACATGTTGTGTCACCTCTGTGCCACTGCAGCTGTCCCTCCTTAGCTTCTACCTTTCTTTTTTCTCAGTCTTTTCCTTCCTAAGCCGTAAGTGAAGCTTTTAAAACTATTACTAGATTTTGAGAGAGGACCTTAAACCTTCCAGAATTTTTTTTTTAAAGTGATACCATGCATGCTTTTCCCATCTGGGGAGTCTCTGCTTTTAAATGACACTGGACTGCATTAAGTGAAGGACATTGACTTCTTTCACACTTTCACTCCCCTAGCCACCCCCTAGGGCCTCAGTGAATTTGTGTGACCTTTCCTGATATCCGTGGTCAAGCTTGGGGTCCCATAAATCCATCAACTCTCTGGGTAAAATAACCCAGAACTTCTGGGGTTCTCACAGATCCGAAGTTTTCTGTAACAATATCAACAGCGTATTTTCATTAGTACACTATCGTTAAGGCCTCTTTGCATTGGCTATGTGTCACTCCAAATTTGTCTCTATCCCCTTTTAACTTGAAAAAGTATTGTCTGTTTATCAAAAAAAAAAAGGGTACCTAACAATGTACGTAAATACAACCTAAATTAATGATTCAGTCATCTTGAAGCTAAATGACAGTATGAGAATTTCCAGTCTCTTCTATGATATCTAACAAATTTCAACAAGAACTGGTAAGTGATTACCGAGATTTAATTATGCAAATCAAATCAGCTCATCATCATCATGTTAGTTATATCACCTTTCAGGTGAAGGAGATCTCAGAGCTTCTACTGCAAACACTAAGCAGGTAGGGGACGGGTCATTTCATAAACCACCCGTGGCACTTGAATTAGTGTGATTTATGACTGCCTTCAAATTAGCTTCTCCAGAAGACCTGCATTTTAAAAACTTACCAGCAAAACTGCTTTCTCTAGAACCATGGGTGGTCTTCTGAAGCAGATTTCAGTCTATAAACACAGAGGATTTGAGTTTTTCTCCCCCTTAATTTCTAATGGCATTAGCTATTCCTTCTTAAGACAAAAATAGTTGTATTCTTTTAGGTTTGTTTAGGGTGGAATGTAACCAGTAAAACTATGCACAGGGATTTTCCTTACCTGGGTTGATTATTTACAGTAAACAGAAGATCTGCAGAACACTCGCTGGCAAAGCTCTTAATAGCAGGTTATGAGAAGCAGGCTGCCCCACAGCAAGCCATCTGGTGGCCACCTCCCCATATCAGACAGAAGCGTTTCTCGTGAAGTTCTAAACACAAGTCTGATTCCTTCAGGAAGACTCACTCCAGTGAGGCCATTTCCCATGTCTCTGCTTGATGTATTCATTCAACATACACACACACACACATATGTATATGTCGTATGTGTGTGTGTGTGTGTGTGTGTGTGTATGTGTATATATACATGAAAGAAAGTTATGACGTATTTTCTATGTGAAAAAATACATCATGACTTTCCTGACAATGCAATAGTAATAGACAGCTTTTGCTTGGTTCCAAATGCAAGGCTGAAACATTCTCAGAAATATGAGGGAGACAAGCCTTTTAGATATTTTATAAAATAGGTCTTAATTGTAAAGACACCAGTGCTATTTCCTCTTAGGAACAATAAAGTTTTGGGGACAAAAAGAGGCACAAAAATGGGGAGGGAAATATTCGCTGAGCTACAGCATGAAGGCTCACATGGCATTCACCAGGCAGGTGGGGCTGGAAGGACCTAGACCTGAATGTGGAAAGACCCAGCCTGTTGTGGAAGACGTGAGAAGTCCTGGAGTATGAGGAGCAGAGGCACGGTGGCTCCGGACTGAGCTC